CTTGTGTTCTGGAGCTGGAAGCTTTTGTGATGTGTGTTTACCGCCATTTTGAGAATGTTATGGCGTGACCGGGTTACAAATGTACACAATCAATTAAAGAAAAAGGTGTAGCTGTTAAACACTTAAGTACAGGAAGTTGTCGTACTTCGGCCACGTCACGAGGAACAATAAGTACAAATTACGCCAGCTTAACATCCAAAGAAATTTCGTTGGAAAACGAAGAATCGGTAGAAGGCAGCACTCCTAGTTAAAGAATTTGAGACAGTGGTACCGAGTCGCTTTTTAGAGCGGCAATTATAATTGTAAGTCAATGGCGGCAATCTCTAAAATCGAAATTGCCATAATGTTGTCCAACCTCCGATAGGAGAGGAATAGCAAGAAAAAGAGAAGAATTATATCTAAGACAAAAATATCAACTGTAATGCAACTTAATGATCAATGAGCGACACACATTAAATTCATTCCACTACTGTGGTGTCTACAGAGAGAAGTATGCTTTGTGGACTTCCGTTTATCATGCGCATGATCCCGGAATGGAATTTCCTCCCTGCGACAGTGTTTCCGAGCACATGCATCTTGAAAATAAATACTTGGGTATTTATTTTAAAGATGCGACTGAATAGGCAACTTCTGTAGACCCTATCTTTGCTTCAGGGTCCAGTTCATTTACTTATCGTAACTGGTTGCGAGCTATGGTTGCGAAAGTGTTGGAAAAAATGGTTATAGCTCTAGTTCGCCACACTGGCCCAATGCAAGTTTAGTAGCAGTAGAACTCCTTGTGAAAGAGTTCGTCCAGGGAAGTATTGCCACCTTTCCGATTTCTCCCACCAAGCATTTAATGTGAGCATTACTGCGTTCCTGATTTGAAGGACAAGGGTGCTGGTGAAATTACAGGCACATGAGGCTTGTCAACTTATGTCTCAGGGTGGCGGGCGCAGTGGCAGTACCCCTCAGTTCTTTGCGATTTAATAAAGCTCTGAGTGGCACTGCAAATGTTATGGTCAGGCGTGTAGCTTACCATCAGGCGCACGACTTGTTCGTCCCGTCACATGATTTTATAAAAAAAAATAGTTGCTGCTGTTGGGGTCAGGGACTCAGGTTCGAGAACCGGTGAAAGATGAGTGACTTATCAAGCCCTCGTACGGTATAGGACAAATCTGTGATTGGGCACATTCGCTATTCAACAGACACGTGAATTGGGCAGATTCGTGTTTTCGACAGATATCTCTATTTACGCTGGAAACGACACGCCACAGAAATTCCACCGCTATAAACTGAGAGGTTGGCTAGATTCAATCATTTTGCAGACAAAACAATTGGAGTTATTTCAGTGGAGCTTACACCTCACGCGTGTCGCTTGCCACCAGGAGCACGACTTGTTCATCCCATCACTTGGTCATAAAAAAAACCCATGGACTTAGACGTGCAGGTTTTATCACAGTATTTTCCTTCATCGTTAGCGAAAGATATTCCTACTAAACGTTTACAAATGCATGCAACTTACAAATTGAAATCGTAGGTATATGCCACCATATGGATTCAAATCGTCGATCTATGAATTGTGAAGCAAACGTTCTCCTACTAAACTACGGTCTCACAGTTATAAGGAGAAAACTGACTTAATGTAGTCACAACTAATAAAAGAGTCAAGTTATGATACAGAACCATCCACAGAAAGAAATAGATTACATAAAGTAAAACAAACTTAAGGTGTGGAATATACAGTTACAAGTGTATTATTTCTTAGTCTAAGTTTCTACATAGAAAAAAGCCAACGAAACGCCTTATAAATAATTTATTTTATAGTTATAAATGTCATATTCCGCACTGTTGAAGTTACTTGACCTCATTTTTTTCTTTCAATTCTTGTCTGAAAGAGACAATGTTTAGTTGGTTAACTGGTCACGTATCACTTAGGACGATAAGTACGTTCTATACACTATTTGAGACAGGCCTCTATGCTATCTTATTATTTGTCTGAAGTATTGGGGTTTCGGATGTTGCCTTCCTTTCAAGTACCTCCATAATATTAACAGGATACGACTTATTGGGTTAGAAGCACAAGATTGAATTATTGGTACTATATTTTGACAGACTTCCTTTTGCGAGATTTGTCGGATTATCTTATAGATATGTGAAGACAATTTAAATGCACATACCTAATTTCCGTAAGACTCATGGTTTTCTAAATCATTACATTTTCTAAACAATGTTGTAGAAGTAATAGAATAGAAAAACATTTATTGTAACGCATAACACATGGATACAAAAAATAGATTAATAATACTTAAATAAAAAAACCAAATAGAAAAGATTTTAAAAAAGCAAAAAGAAGCAAAGGAAAATAAAACAGAAAACAAGCAATTAACAAAATATAACGATTAACAATTTGTACTGTCATTTGTGCGGTTGGCGTACGCAAAAGGACCTCATTCACCTGAAGCCACAGCGATAATTAGGCTGTGGCGTTGGTTTGCAATGAGCTCTAAGATATTTGAATAATAAACATAACGATATATATATCGAATTGAGAACGGAAGTTTAGAGCTGAAATATAAAAACTACTGTTTCACCCATACACTAAATTATTAATGAGCAGCTACAAAGAATAATGTGACTCAAAAAATGTTTCTACTTAAAACAGATTCAAACGCGAGCGAAACATTTAAACGAACAAATTCTTCTCTCCACAAAAGTATATTGAAGATAGTTGTAACAGTATGGTTACAAGTAGTTGGACAAAGAGAGAGTTTTGGGTCAAGTATCCCTTAGCCGGGCTGACTCGAATGCGACTGTCGTGCCGTTTATACGAATGACCAGAGAAATGTTCCCGACAAACGGTTGTTTCCTTTTTTAAGATTATCTCAAAATATTTTACGTTTTACAACCTAAAGAAGATAAATCCAAAGATTATCTAAAACTATATCTACGAACTAAAAATGAAGTAGCCGATTAAAAAATAAAAGTGAAAATTCTAGAAGTTATCGAATTAATAGAAGATAATTGTGAATTAGTACAGATAGTAACCTCGCTGTAACTTGCAACGAATGTTCTATTACCACCGTTCAAAGAATTGGGCATACGGTAGAATACTCATACATCGTTATTGTTACGCTTAAGTGAATTTTCGACGGTAATAAAAATACAATAAGATCAAAGATAGATATTGTTGCCAACTGCTGCATTTATTCTAAACAGCTTTTCAAAATGCCATAGGAACATGTTTACGATGGTCTCTGCATGGAGACCGTAAACAATCAATTTCAACATATTTCATACGTTATTTAAATACGTACACAAATCTCTTGATTTTTCTACTCGGTCGCACTGGATTGTTCGATCAATGGTATGTACAAAGTGGAAATTTCCTGTCTTTGTAAACTTCACTCACTGATTTACTTTTGATACTGCAGTATTTCTAACAAGTTTATTCACTGCATTTAAGTTTGAAGACAAATCCATACATGAACTCGTCTAGAGTTAAGATATAGAACAGAGATTAAAATTTTTGATATAAAATAGGACCTCAGGGCTCGAACGGAGACATTGGCCACTTATCCACTCGTATTTACTTTTTGTACTCGTTGTTGTACTAAATTTCAAATTTAAATGATACGTTAAACTTAAATCAAATAATATTTATTTAATAAAGACATACATTATAAAGAAAATCATGAATTTGCAACCTAAATATGAGGACAAGGCTCCGACAATATGTAGGTACTAAAAATCCGTAAACTTTGGGTTTGCACTTTGGGCTGTGACCTGTTATACACAGGAATTTAAAATTTTCAGCGCTAACTGTGGTGATATTCCAAATATGTTTAACAATTTATAATGGCAAATTTGAAAACAGAATATTTAATCACATAGAATATGATAATAAAATTAAAATGGAGTAAAGATGGCCGTTGGAACAGACTTGTTCTAGAGTGGCGACCACATCAAGATCAACGTAGTACGCCCTGCGGCAAAATGGACTGACGAGACTGAGATAGGTGGCCGGCAATGGTTGGATGCAGGCAGCACAAGACACTATGCACGCTCATGTTCAGCAGTCGATGCGTATAATGTGATAAAGTTAAAGAGAAGGCTATTAGAGAACTAGGCTATTGCTATATTGTATCATCTTCATCATCAAACTATAGTTGTTAGATCAGCTCTCCTCTTGTATAGAAACAATAAATCTCCTCTTCTCTAGAAATTGAAACTGGACTCAGAAGAGGCTTTAGAGATATATTTTTAAGCCATTGAACGAAAGAATATTTGAAGCGCAGTTTTGAGTATTTACTTTTGAGCGAAGATATAACCACGGCTTATTTATGTCAATAAAAACCTTTACGCAGTACAAATACCACGAGAATTTTAGAAACTCAGAAACGCAGGTTTATTTACGGTGGTCTTCTTTACTATGGCAAGTAGTTAAGTGTCATATTCTAGTAAAACCAGCGCTTTGATTTTGCGAAAGTAATTTAATAATAATTATGAATAAAGCTCTAACAGAAAAATCTTTTTACTAATAAACCATTGGCATAACTATCCCGGGGTCAAATATAAATAATTTTATACTTGTATAAAGAATGGTCAAATGTGAACAGGTCATAAAATTGAATAATTGGGTCTTAGAAGCTTGAAACCGAAAGTTAGAAGTGTAAAAATAAATTATTCAACGTTTTTTGGATACCTTATGGAATAGTAGTTTTTATTACTTAATTTCATTAATTAATTTCATAAATTCGGACCGGTTAATTTTTAAGTATTCTACTCATATTTTCGGAATAATATTTTGAACTCAGAATTGAACCAGTTTATGCTTTTAATATTCCTGTAAATTTACTAGTTATAAAGTCCGAAACGTCCAAAAGGTGAATTTTTTTCAGCCACAAATCAACACTGCTGTATTTCGAATTCAAGGATCCCGGAGAGTCAGCACAATCACAGGTATATAAAGTTAAGATCTTATATAACCCATGACCGACAACATATTTTAGATATTTCTTTGCTAGGCATCGCAACATTGTCTTTAGAATTCCAATTTTCTTCTGGTAAACCATATCCTAGTCGCATCGTACGAAGCATCGTGACTTACTCGCAGAAATAGTTTCTGCGTGACAACCTTGCACCATCTGTGGCGGTCTTTGGCATAGTGGCGTGCATCACGGAGACTTATGACCAGAGACCCCTTAGACGTTTGCCGTCGATCTGTCCGGCTATTAACAGTTAAACCATCTTACAGATATTAAAAACAAAATCTTTAGAAAATAACTATTCCATTATTTCGAGATCTGGAGTTTTCGCGATTTCTACAAATTGGAAATAAAAAAATATATAATCCAAAACCGCATACATTTATTTTCCACAGCTAAATAAGGGACCTGTAAACAACAGGAAATGTTGATTTATTTGATGAAACAAATATACTGCCGCCGTTAATTAAAACGGCTCATGTGACATTTTTTCTAAAAATTCCGAAAAAATCAGAATTTCAGAAAAAAAGGCCAATCTGTCACTATACTGAAAAGGTACGAATTTACCGCAATACAAAAGTAGATTTTTTTAATTTCATTCTTGTAAACATTATTTTCTCGGTTTTGAATTTTTGTTACAAGCTTCGTTTCAACTAACGGCAGCTATACGTAGATCTCAAAAAATTGTTTCAATATCCAAAGTAGGTACATCACATGTACAGGGTCAAGAGAAAGACTTACGATAAGAACGGTCCAAAGTACAAAATGTCAAGCTTGATGTGCTATTGACTATACCACCAGTAACGTGATATTCTTCCTGTTATTAAATGTGTCAACAAAGTTGGTCTTGCTTCACACAATTACTACTAATAATGTCATTAAGTAACGTATTCGTTAATTTCCTGATATCAACAAGAACATACACGAAAAAGAAGACGAAATTCGAGGTATAATAAAAGACGATGTTTCCCTGGCTACTACTTGTCACTAATAATGCTACTTTGGCGACACTAAACAGAGTTGTTATTTTGGGAATTCGAGCAAAACGCGCAACAGGAAATTCTTATTGCTCAGGTGAATGGTCGCCACACACAACAAAGGCTGGACGTATTTTCACGACTGTGCAAAACAAGTATAAATTATCAGGGTTCGAGTAAATAACTAGTACCCATAAAACTAAAACCTTTTAACCACCGGTAGTAGTAAGTAAGTAAGTAGATGGCGCTGTTACTTCACTTATCACGAACCAGGAGATCATAAATTACTAGAATGTGTTGTAAAAATTATAACGGGAGGGTAAGATTTATTTTTACTTTCAAGTACAATTTCGTTCTATAGACATTGTTATTTTTACAAAATAGTTAATTTATTTTTAAGAAATGTACAAGATATAATTTGGCTAGACGTAAACACATATTATTCATGGCTTGCACGTAATGTCTGAAAGATCTATTAATCATTGGACTGATTTGCGCCGATAGTATGAAAGATAGTTGTTAGCATACTTGCCTTGATTCGATCTAGAATATTAGGACGCCTTCAAATTAGACGTTTGTAAATACGCTGCAGTGCAACGTTACAGCTGCACCACTACTAATTTTCATACAATATTTAGAAGCGCAGTTGCAGCACCACTGTCGTGACTCGTGTCACGTGCGCATCACTTTCGCAGTCACGATAAGTGAAGTAACAACTGCTGAAGCACCCATAAAAAACCCCAAGAGCTGCACTTCATAAATTAGCCAGGTTATGTCTATCAGACTTTAGGTATTATTATTAATTTCTTGGCCCCTCGCCATAACATTCGAGCACACTCCAATATTTAATTTTTTTTTACTACAGCTGAACTTGGAACTTATAGCGGCAAGGGCGCTTTTTCTTTATTTTAACTAATTTTTTTTATATAATAACGCGTACATAGCTCCGCACTAAGGAAACCCTGTGTCGCCACTGGTGTCATGGACACACACATAGACAACCACAAATTACACCCAAAGTCACGAGAGAAATAAATCTCGGTCATACCAATATTTCTTCCGGCCCGGGAATCGACCCTGGGATCTTTGCGTGGCAGTCCAGCATGGTAACCGTTTGGCCACGAAGGCAGTTACAGGCAAATGGACTTGATTTTCAGCACTACCTCGACCTAGAGCAAAGAAGAGCTACGATGGAACGAGCTCGCCCAGAAAATGCATGTTCAGTCGCACCTTAAAGATACTCGGGTTGTATGTCCTCAGAAATACAATCGCAGGCAGAGAATTTCGTTCCTGGATTGTGCGCATAATAAAAGATGACGAAAAGCACTTAGTACGCCTGAACGACCAAGTAAGGATGATATCCCGCCATACGTCTGGATGTCAGATTGTAAAAGGGGGCGGGTGGGATGAGCTGATGGAATTCATGGACACACTCACTGAATATATCTGTAGAAAACCGACAATCAGGCAACTTTGCGCCGGTGAGCTAAACTATGAAACGCGACGCTAACGAGAACGAAGTCGATGGATACATGGCTAACTAAGCGAGTTTGTATTTAAATTTATTAGCACCGCGACCATTCCCAGTTTAATCCCTACGGTAAAGACGTAAGTGCACTGAGCCGCCACGACCTTAACCGTTTGGGAAACAAAAAGGCTTACTGATAGTTACCTTGATCAACATGATGATTTTATTTGTATGTTTATGTTAAAATTAACATACACATACAAATAAAATCATCCATTTAATCTGCTTCTAGCCTTATTAACTAATTAATGTTCTTAATGTACGTTCGTCACATTGTGTCCTAACGTTTCGACCAAAGTGAAATATGGACCTGAAGTAATGAACAACTAAACTTCCAGTGAAATTCACATGCAGTCCTTAACGACGTCATCCGCCGGGCCTTAGCCACGGTTAACGTGCCCACTATACTTGAGTCAACGGGCATGTCGCGAAGTGTTGGCAAACGGCGGGACAGAATAACTCTCATCCCTTGGAGTATGGGCCGAGCACTGGTTTGGGACGGCACATGTACCGACACACTTGCCCCATCCCATCTCCGGCACACCAGCTAGAGGGTTGGCTCCGTAGCTGAACTGGCGGAAAGAATGAAAAATAATAAGTACCAGGGTTGCAGCTCAGGCTACCTATTTACAGCTATTGGAGTCGAAACCCTTAACCTATGGGATCCCGGTGCCCTTTATTTCTACAAAATTTTATCCAACTAATGGACTATCTAGGAAACCCGAGGGATATCTTGCCCAACGCATTAGCATAGCCATACAATGAGGGAAAGCCGCCAGCATTTTGAGCACCTTGCCATGGGGACTCAATTTTATTCATGTAATTTAATCCTGGTTTTAGTTTCTAGTATTCAAGCTTTTATTGTACCTTACCTGTATATTTCAAGTTATTGTGTAATAAAAACTTATTATTTATAAATTTCTCTGAATTTCCTAAATATCTGAAACAGCCGACGAAACGAGTCTTTGCGCTTCTCAATAAATTTTGTTCGCCAAGGATTACAAAGGCATTTATTTACGCAAGTAATTACAATGCTGCGCAAAATTAGGATAATGCTATTTATAACTAAGTGGTGTTTCCTGTGCAATAACAATTCCCAACAACGGAATGTTCACACGGCACGATCAATATTATGATAATGATATGATCTTCTTTACAATGATTAATGACACCAATAGTGAGACTGAAGTGGGTGAGACACTAGAAGATAACATTTTATATACAATATACAGGGTTAGTTGTAAAATACTAACATTTTGACAAGACTATATTACGAACATTACAAACACCAACTTTTGTTCCATGAATTTTAATCAATTCTATTTAAAAATATTTAAATAGATCGCTCTGAACGGTGATAACTTTGTGTAAAACGCAGGACGGGGATGGGAGTCGTCAGAGAGAACGCTTGTATGTTTGAATTTACAAATGTACTACCAAATACTGAACTAAACATTGTCAGTTAATAAAAAAATTCTTAAAAGTTTACTTTTGGTAAATTCATTCTTTTGTCAAAAGTCATAGAATACAAGGTGTTGTTTATGATGTAAGTAATCTAGTCCTGCAAGGTTTTTAGTATTTTAAAAATAACTATGTGTATACGTTACGCCTCCACATTTACATGGCGAATGGCTGTAGAGGGGAATTCCCTGCCTGCAGACTTATTCCCTGGACGGTATAACTTAGGCCTATTCAAGGCGAGAGTAAATAGGCATTATTTAGATATGCATGCTCCGTAGTCAACCTCGTCGTCACTTTCTATCAGGTGAGGTGGAGATCAAACGCATTTATTTTTTTATAAAAAAAAAGAAAAATAATTCCAATAAGTACCATCAAAGTTATGATAGTGACGTTAAGTAAAATAATCTTCTTTACAATGACTAATAATGAGACTAAAGTTGGTAGAAAACATTTTAACAAAGAGATACCTCGATTATGAATTCACTACGAAAAAAGTTTGTATAAAAAGTAGGCACAGGAATTTTTCAATTTAGTTCCACCTTCATCCTCCAGTCGACTAGAAAGTCCGGAACACTCCATCCTTACGTCATTGATTTACCACCCATTCGCACGAAACGCTTTGCTTCCTCCTTCCTAATGCGTACGGCAAAGGAATGAAATACGCTACCGGAATTTGTGTTTCCCGAAATGTTCAATTTAGGGCTTATTCAAGGCTACAATTATTGGGCTTTTTTTAGACAAACGCGTACTATCGTCGGTCATATCATCATTTTACATGAGGTGTGATTGCCACCAAGCGCAAGTTTATATATAAAAACAAACTTTTGAGCCGTTAGGTTAGGTTAGTTTTTTCGAAATCGTACATAAGCGTTGTCTTTTTTGAAGAAAAAAATACGCAATTGCAAAAAATTAGAACGTTTTTATAAAAAAAACCTACCGCAAAAGTTTGCTAGTCCGTTTTCGCTGTGTTTTGTTTTCAATGGAATTACATCTTTGTGCCAAGTTCAATAAACAGGATTCATTCCCTAATTTGCCACCTTCCAATGTGGAATAATAGGGGTTAAAGTATGAAATTGCCGATTTGTACTGAAAATCTAAATTGTTTATTTTTTAAATTTTTAACAAATTTATTTAATCAAAATAGTTGCCATTATTATCTATACATTGCTGCCATCTAATGGGAAGGTTATTAATGCCTTTGCGATAGAACTCCGACGATCTAGACTGCACAAACTGTGTGAAAGCATTTTGTACTGCCTCCTGGGAAGAAAACTTCTTGTCACGTAGATAATTGTCCAAATCACGAAAAAAATGGTAGTCCGTTGGAGCAAGGTCTGGTATTCACCACTTCTGGTATTCACGGAGGATGACGAATGGTTTCTAACTGCAGTTCCTGAAGGGTCAAAATGGTTTCTCGTGCTGTGTGAGGTCTCGCGTTGTCGTGGAGCAATAATGGTGAAGATCGATTCATGAGTCTGTTTTACTGCTAGTTTTGTCAACATGGTTCGGAGTTCGGCACAATAGACATCTGCCGTTATTGCTTGACCAGATCGGAGAAAACTATAGTGAATAACACCATGCTGAGACCACCAAACAGTTACCATTACCTTTTTATTGGTAAGTTTTGCTTTAGGACACTGTTGTGGCATTTGACCTGGGGTCAGCCATTGCATTTTTCTTTTCCGGTTATCATAAAGAATCCACTTTTCATCACATGTTACAATTCGATCCAATATTCCTTCATTTCTGTACCGGTTCAACAAGGCAACACAAGTTTCAACACGCGTTTCTTTCTGCAGATCAGTCAAATCATGAGGCACCCATTTTTCGTATTTTTTTTATTTTATTGATTTGACGCAAGTGAGTCAATATTGTGGGTAAGGTAACGTTAAACCATGCCGCTAATTCCTGGGTAGTTTGACTAGGATCGGCTTCCACTATCTCTCTTAATTCATCGTTATTCACCTGTGTGGGCGGTCTTCCTCGTGCCTCGTTCTTTAAGTCGAAATTTCCATCACGAAAGCGTTTAAACCAAAATCGCACGGTGCGTTCATTAGTAGACCCCTCTCCAAACGCAGTATTGATATTGCGGGCTGTTTCTGCCGCGTTAGTTCCGCGTCGGAACTCGTATTCAAAAATCACTCGAATTTTCGCAGTATCCATCTTTCTTGTCTAAATTGAATAACAAAAACAATTGAAAGTCGATATTCAAATGTTTCAAATTAAAAAAAAAATCACAGAAACCATTTGAAAAAAGTTTCATTCGAAAACCTCAAACCATGAAGATTCTATGAAAATTCAAAGAACCTATTGCAATAAAACGGCAATTTCATACTTTAACCCCTAATATTTTCTTGAAATTTGAATGGGATTACTACTTATTACCTTTCCAACAAAAAAAGATCGATAGAACTCGATTCTCACATGTCGGAGTAATGGCGTAACATCACACAAAAAATACAGACGAATTAGAATCTCCTCCTGTTTTGAAGTCGGTGGAAAATAGTTTCATTTCCAAAAATTATTCTTATTATGATCACAAATAAGTCTACCTACATACTCCCCAAGTGCAAATAAAAAGAGTTTAATTTAAATTTTTATTTAAAAAATGTTTGCGAGTAACGAGCGTAAACGAATGAAACTTTTTTTTGGATCTAAATCGTGTATATTTGTTTTATCAAACAAAATAACTTTTTGGGCCCTTTATGGGTCCCGTGGTTATGGCTGACTGATCAAACGGACAATCACGAAAACCTAAGAACTCGAAGAGTTCATATGGTCTCATTTTAAATGAAAGGTTTGAATTTCGTTACCTTACTATTAATAGCTTTCCACACATGTTCACTTTTTAAAATTTTACAGGCGAGGAAATACCAATAATAATATAATATGTTGAGTTGTGCATGTGTGCATTATTATACCTTCCAGAACATTTTATGCGCTTCTTCTTAGTCATTATCTTCATTGCTGGAAGTCGTGACCCGAATAGTTTTCGAGATTTTATGGACGATTTTCTTCCACCTGGTTCTGTTTTCGGCCTCTCGCAGGGCAGTTGTTATGGGGAGACCAGTGAGGGCGGTCACTTGGTCACTCCATCGGTTAGGTGATCGACAGCGGAGTCTCTATCCCTCCACCTTTCCCATCACAATCAGTTTGTCAAGGTTGTCTGGTTGTTGGCGAGCTATATGATCACAATACTGAAGGATTCTCTGGTAGCATATTGTGGAAAGTCTGTCTGCGACATGAAGCTGCTCAATTATGGATTGGTTTGTCCTTCTAGCGGTCCACGGTATATAGAGTATCCTTCTCCAACACCATATTTCGAAATTTATGCGTTAAATATAGTTATATTATATGACTTAGATGTCGTTGCAATCTTTTAAAAATTTAGTAGCAGTAGAGCTCCTTTTGAAAGAGTTCGTCCAGGGAAGCACTGCCACCTTACCTATTTCTGCCGCCTAGCAGTAATTTAAGCATAACTGGGTTCCGGTTTTGAAAGTCAAAGGTGCTGGTGAAATTATAGGCACATGGGTCTTGTCAACTTATATATTAGTGTGACGGGCGCAGTGGGAGTGCAACTCAGATCTTTACGATTTTAAGCTCTGAGTGGCACTATAACTGCTATGGAGAAGCATCTCGCTTACCTACAGACACACGACTTGTTCGTCCTGTTAATTAGTATCATAAAAAAAAATTGCAGTGGACATGTGTTATTTTAACACGTAATACGTTGAATTCTTGTGCACATTATAAACTGAAAATGTGGATTTTGAAAAATAGTGGACATATTGCAATTTAACAATAAGCCTACGATATGTAAAAACAACACAGCTTTAATGTTAGGTTGGTTTAAAGAAACTCGTTAGTCGTTCCCGAAAGCCTCCGGTGAATATGCGCCTTTAAGCAGGTTTATTTTTCACGCTGGGATTAGCATTTGCTAATAACAGCTCAGCCTTCTCGGCTT